GAATAAGTTTGATTTATTGAATGTTTAATACTCCATTTTCATATTATTGCTGGCTACAATATATGAAGCACTCAATGTTTAGCAAAGTGAATGGTTTGTATCACTCAGATTGATACTCACAAAGCAGGATTATATTTCTCTTATGATTTTTTATCCACCCATTTTTGTTGTGAAGAAATGTATTAAAACATTGTTGCACAACACACGTTTTAGTGCTACTTATGTTGTACATCTATACACAACAAATGCGTAAGCATTTAATAAGGGCACATTGCTATCCATAAATATCCACTGTGTACCAGATTGATTTCACAATGTAAAGCTTGTATAGTTGTATTAAATACATCTTTGTGTAAATTTTATGTTGTATTTCTTTGTTTTATTTGTGTAGCCAGATGACGTAATTTCACTTGTGAAAAAAGTCTTAGCTCCAGGTATTGGTTGGAAGATGGTGTAGACTTTTTACTTTTTAACATACCCTTAATCAGCCCCCACCCTCTTCTCAACGTACGTGGAAAGAAAAACTGACGTAGTCATTGTGGTTCAAGTTATCTTGATGCAAATTTTTGTCGTGTTCACGTATTTTGTGTATTTTGCATGTACGTACAACTGCTGGATTCATTACTATTTATAAAATAAAAGCAATAAAACGCGTGCGGTGTTTGGTAGAGCCGTGTTTGCATTAGCCTGTGCAAAACACATCTGAGCTCAACCAATCAAATCAATCAAAGCAGTCAATCAGTCAAAGAGAATTTGAAAATCGATCATGAATACATTTTAGAGGAAAAATTAAAATGTTTGTCTTTTTCGCATTATTTTTATTTTATAAAAGAAATAAAACATGTTTTTCGTGTTTGCACAGGCTTATGCAAACCTCTTGGACGTTTGTGAGAACTCTCGAGTAGGTGCAACCCTCGACCTTCGCTCTCGAGTTCTCCCAAAGGTCTCCTCGGTTTGCATGAGCCCGTGCAAACACAGTAAACATCTTTTATTTCTTAATTAAAAAATTTACTTATCTTTAAAATATACTTACGTAATGTAGTTGGGTTGTATTTACAAAGGATTTTTTGTCATTATCTAGGTCATTTTAGTAATTTAGATCAGTTTCTATCAAAGTTTCCTGAGGAGGATAAGTTTACTCCAATGGGTGAACTGATTGAAACTTTCATTGTTTCTGAAGAAACATATCAAGTATATAAAGTAAGTATATATCAAGCAGAGTGTCTTCATGGTCTTTTGCTGTTCTGCCACACGTGAATTTATCACAGTCTTTTCGCAAATCACTGTTTTTTCGCATTTATCAATATGAAATTTACCTGATGATTAATTTTTATTAAGGCTGGTATCTCAACTCCAAGATTCAAGAGTTACCATGAAAGATTGCAAACTTTTGTTCTTTGGTATATCGATGCTGCTTCATTTTTAGGTCTGTACGAGTTTCCATTTATGAAAAGCACAAAAATGCAAGTTTTTTTGTAGCTAGGTGTTTTTGTTTGACAATAACAAACTGTTCCGTTTGTTTAACAAAAACAATCATCTTAGAAAGGCTAACCAATTCTTGTTGGTTTGCACTATGGTTACGTACGTATAAATGCCAGGCTATAACATAAGTGTCTTTTTGCGGTCTTAGTACATACTGCCCGGAATGCTCGAAAGCGTCTGAGAACGGCCAAGAGTGGCCAAGAACATGAAAGATAGGATAAATCTATTTACGATAGTTTCTGGTGTGTTTTTGACTACTAAAGTGTTTTTGACAAAAAAATTCTTAAAAATTGTCCACGGCCAATTTTGACATCAATGGTGCCTATACGCGTATTTTCTGGAGTAATTCTTCTAGTTATATGCAGTGGTGTTTGAATATAAAGCCTTAATCGAGCAAAAACAAGGATCTTTGAAAATTAGTATGCACTTTATGACATTTCATTTCGGTTTTTGCCAACATTTCTGGAAAAATAATAACCTGTTCGACCCAGGAGATGGACGCGTTACAAAATATTAGAAAGGGTGAAATGAGCGGCAAAATATTAGAAAGGGTGAAATGAGCGGCAAAATATTAGAAAGGGTGAATGAGCGGCAAAATATTAGAAAGGTGGAATGATGGCAAAATATTAGAAAGGTGGAATGAGCGGCAATAGAGGAATGAGCAAAAAATATAGAAAGGTGGGAATGAAAGGAACATGGGCAAAAGATTAGGATGGAAGAGGCAAACTTAGAAAGGTGTAATGAGAAATTGATGGAAAGCGGCAAATTAGTGAAAATGGCAAAAATTGAAGTGAAATGGAATAGGAGCTGGAAAAGGCAAAATAAAGTGAAAATGGAATGAAAGCAGGAATGAATGGCAAAATGAAATGGAATGGAAATGGAATTGGAAAGGAATGAAAGGAATGGAATGGAATGGAAGGAAACTGAAATGGAAATGAGCGGCAAAATATTAGAAAGGTGGAATGATGGCAAAAAATTAGAAGGTGGAATGAGCGGCAAAATATTAGAAAGGTGGAATGAGCGGCAAAATATTAGAAAGGTGAAATGAGCGGCAAAATATTAGAAAGGAGAATGAGCGGCAAAATATTAGAAAGGTGAAATGAGCGGCAAAATATTAGAAAGGTGGGCTGTACACGAAGATCCATGGCTGCGTGGTTTTGAGTCAAATAACTTCAAAATGGAGTTAAAAATCTTTAGAAAAATATTAAATACGTAGATTCATTCTATCTCTTTTATGTTATCCGGCTTTCTCGGGCAATCTTACGCTTTCTCTGACGTTTCCTGGCACTCTCGAGCACTCCGGGCGGTGTTTAGTAGGACCTCTTTGTATTACGCATGGGAACTGAGAGAAACATCTTTTTTATATAGATATGGATGATAGTAAGTGGGACTTCTTTCTAATGTAACTATATTTTTTATATTTTTTACTTTAATCTGTCATAACTATATTTTATATATCTAGTTTGATGAATTTTTCGCATCGACTGTTTGTTACAGGTTTAAGAAATCGTCTGAAGTCGGTATCACAAGGTTTTCGATAGCTGGCTACACTGCAGTCTATCGATATTATGCCTATCCTGATATGAAAAGACCTCGAATAAGGTGAGAAGGTGTTGTTCTAATCATAGAAGTAGAACTAGGTATTGATGGAATTAGACTTATCGGCAGAATTAGAATTTTATCAACTAGAGCTTATCGATAGAATGAAGGTTTTTGATAAAAATACGTCTATCGATATACATTCTTATCTGGTCTTATAAGAAACACAAAGAAAGTTTATGATGGTTGTATACGTTATTATGTTGCATGTTTGATTTTTTTTATTTTGACAGTCAATTTCTTATTCTTCCTACGTTTCAAAAGAAAGGTCTAGGCGGTAAGGCTCTGCATATTTCTTTTTCTTCAAATAATGCCACACTAACTTTAAGGCTAACCTTTTGTTGTAAATTTTTATTTCTACATTTACGTATTAATATCAAGGCTGTTTTCACGATTTTTGACGTATACGGACACAAGTCTATTTCAACCCGGTCTCGTTTTGAACTTTTAAGACTCCTTATTCATCAAAATAGACATTGCTCTACAGTTTTTTCATTTCCTCTATATAATATAATGGTATCGTCTGCATCTACCATGTTGTACTTGCTGTATACGTATGAGTACAGTAAATGTGTATAAGCAAAGTCGACTTTTTTGGCTCTAACATATAGTTCATTCAATGTTTTATAAGGGGAGTTTTTTGTCTTGAGAAGGGAAAATAGGTAGCTCTCATCATTTATCATGTGACATACAAATTCCACAAAAATTTAAGTTTCTTGAACTGTATTTTAGCATAAAAAATTATTGCATTCTTTTTAAATATATCAGATTCTATAAAAACTCCGACAGTTATGTTTTTTTTCTTTCAGCCAAACTTCTCTTGGCAGTTGATAATCATTACACTAAAGATAAGAAGGTTCTTGATATGACAGGTATACAATTTATAAATATTAACATTAGAGACATAAAGTTTCTTGTACAGTTGATGAATATTAACGTTAGAGACATAAAGGTTCTTGTACAGTTGATGAATATTAACGTTAGAGACGTAAAGTTTCTTGTACAGTTGATGAATATTAACATTAGAGACATAAACGTTCTTGTAGAGTTGATGAATATTAACATTAGAGACGTAAAGGTTCTTGTACAGTTGATGAATATTAACATTAGAGACGTAAAGGTTCTTGTACAGTTGATGAATATTAACATTAGAGACGTAAAGGTTCTTGTACAGTTGATGAATATTAACGTTAGAGACGTAAAGGTTCTTGTACAGTTGATGAATATTAACGTTAGAGACGTAAAGGTTCTTGTACAGTTGATGAATATTAACGTTAGAGACGTAAAGGTTCTTGTACAGTTGATGAATATTAACGTTAGAGACGTAAAGGTTCTTGTACAGTTGATGAATATTAACGTTAGAGACGTAAGGGTTCTTGTACAGTTGATGAATATTAACGTTAGAGACGTTAAGATTTTGTACAGTTGATGAATATTAACATTAGAGACGTAAAGGTTCTTGTACAGTTGATGAATATTAACGTTAGAGACGGAAGGTTCTGTACAGTTGATGAATATTAACATTAGAGACATAAAGGTTCTTGTACAGTTGATGAATATTAACGTTAGAGACGTAAAGGTTCTTGTACAGTTGATGAATATTAACATTAGAGACGTAAAGGTTCTTGTACAGTTGATGAATATTAACGTTAGAGACGTAAAGGTTCTGTACAGTTGATGAATATTAACGTTAGAGACGTAAAGGTTCTTGTACAGTTGATGAATATTAACGTTAGAGACGTAAAGGTTCTTGTACAGTTGATGAATATTAACGTTAGAGACATAAAGGTTCTTGTACAGTTGATGAATATTAACGTTAGAGACGAAAGGTTCTTGTACAGTTGATGAATATTAACGTTAGAGACGTAAAGGTTCTTGTACAGTTGATGAATATTAACGTTAGAGACGTAAAGGTTCTTGTACAGTTGATGAATATTAACGTTAGAGACATAAAGGTTCTTGTACAGTTGATGAATATTAACGTTAGAGACATAAAGGTTCTTGTACAGTTGATGAATATTAACGTTAGAGACGTAAAGGTTCTTGTACAGTTGATGAATATTAACGTTAGAGACGTAAAGGTTCTTGTACAGTTGATGAATATTAACGTTAGAGACGTAAAGGTTCTTGTACAGTTGATGAATATTAACGTTAGAGACGTAAGGGTTCTTGTACAGTTGATGAATATTAACGTTAGAGACGTTAAGATTCTTGTACAGTTGATGAATATTAACATTAGAGACGTAAAGGTTCTTGTACAGTTGATGAATATTAACGTTAGAGACGTGAAGGTTCTTGTACAGTTGATGAATATTAACATTAGAGACATAAAGGTTCTTGTACAGTTGATGAATATTAACGTTAGAGACGTAAAGGTTCTTGTACAGTTGATGAATATTAACATTAGAGACGTGAAGGTTCTTGTACAGTTGATGAATATTAACGTTAGAGACGTAAAGGTTCTTGTACAGTTGATGAATATTAACGTTAGAGACGTAAAGGTTCTTGTACAGTTGATGAATATTAACGTTAGAGACGAAAGGTTCTTGTACAGTTGATGAATATTAACGTTAGAGACATAAAGGTTCTTGTACAGTTGATGAATATTAACGTTAGAGACGTAAAGGTTCTTGTACAGTTGATGAATATTAACATTAGAGACAAAGTTTTTGTACAGTTGATGAATATTAACGTTAGAGACGGGTTTCTTGTACAGTTGATGAATATTAACATTAGAGACATAAAGGTTCTTGTACAGTTGATGAATATTAACGTTAGAGACATAAAGGTTCTTGTACAGTTGATGAATATTAACGTTAGAGACATAAAGGTTCTTGTACAGTTGATGAATATTAACGTTAGAGACGTAAAGGTTCTTGTACAATTGATGAATATTAACGTTAGAGACGTAAAGATTCTTGTACAGTTGATGAATATTAACGTTAGCGACGTGAAGGTTCTTGTACAGTTGATGAATATTAACGTTAGAGACATAAAGGTTCTTGTACAAAAAGAAAGAATGATAGCACAGCGCTATAACCAACAACTACAAACAATAACGACCTTATCTAACAACATTTGAGAAATTAACCTTCCACTCCTCTTCCTTATAAACCAGACAAGTCTACTCAAAAACAGAGAGTCTTATACGCTACAAGTCCCGGGCTTGTGACCGGTATAGCAGAGTTAAAAGGTGAAAGGTTTATCATAGATTAATCAACTGAATATTCCTGCTCATTTTTTGTTTGAGGATCAAGGTTCTTGTAGAGTTGATGAATATTAACGTTAGAGACATAAAGGTTCTTGATATGACAGGTGTACAGTTGATGAATATTAACGTTAGAGACATAAAGGTTCTTGATATGGCAGGTGTACAGTTGATGAATATTAACGTTAGAAACGTGAAGGTTCTTGATATGACAGGTGTACAGTTGATAATTATTGACATTAAAGACGTGAAGGTTCTTCATATGACTGGTGTATTCTATTTAGTTGACCATTGTTAACATTAGAGATGAAAAAGTTCTTGTGTCGGTTTTTACCAACATGATCAAGACTTATGATGGGGTTTTTGTCCTTGACAAATGTGTGTATATATTTAATTGAGCCTGTCTTACTTTGTATAATTGGCAGCGGTGTTCATACTTCATCTTGCTCTTTTATAGTTGAGGATCCTGTTAATGATTTTCTTCGCTTACGTGATTACGTAGATGTTCTGCGTTGTCGCTCTTTACCTGTGTTCAAACCTAATTATTTATGTAAAGGTTTCTCTAAGGAAATGGTCGATCAAGCAAGGCGAAAATTGAAAGTTAACCAGGTTGAGAAAATGTTTAACGATCACATTTGAGATTTGTAAATTTGTTGTTTCAGAAAGTTCACCTTAAGAAGCTAATATTAACGAGTTAGTTATGATGTACATAAATATACTATACAGCAATTTGATCTTTTTTATGGAGATTTCATTGATCAAGTTTCACTAAACAGCTTTGTGTTTATCATTCCGATTACCATCAATTCTTTGTATTTACCACTAATGTTCTGTATTTACCACTAATGTTCTGCATATTTACCACTAATGTTCTGTATTTACCACTAATGTTCTATATTTACCATTTACTAACAGCATCAATGTAGACGTGTTTATGAAATTCTTCGATTGGGTGCAACTAATTTGAACGATCCTGAAGAGCATCGAAAATATCGACTGGAAATAAAGAAACGTCTAAACGCTCCGTTTCAGGTACGTTCGTGTTGATATGTCTATATATATTACTCTACATCCTGTTGGCTATATACTTACCCATAAATTCAAATTTCATCCGCGAGAACGAAACTCAAAAGTAGTGTTCATAATCTGATTTTTTCTTAGAAAGAAAAAGCTGATTTGAAAAAACTTCAACGTGTTTTAACCGCGGATGAATATGCTGCTGCAGTTGCAAATATATCACAACGAGAACAATTAAATATTCTCGAAGAAAATTACCGAGAAACGATTGCCGAATATAAGCGAATTTTGGAAAGAGTTGCTGCATCTTGACTAGCAATTTTTGAATGAAATTGTTTCTAGGTTCACAGAACGCAAATTAACTTCTGTGTGGTAATGCGAATGCACAAATGTTCACCTTTTCACAATGTTCATTCATTCACGCGGACTCCAGGCGGGATATTTCAAAATTAGTCACCTCAAGGGGGTGGCTACTTTCAAGTTGTATTTTAAGCACTATTAACTCCAATAGTTAACTGATAATCCACGCTGTATGAATTTATTTTTCAATGCGTTTATAATAGTGCAAGGTTGCAGTAGCTAACGCAAGTATGCATGAACATTTTATTTGGATAATGAATTATAAATGAAGTGTACATCACTTCTGTAAAAGTTCTATAAAAAGGGTGGTTACTTTCATGAGGGCGGTTACTCTCGAGGGTTACTCTTCAACTTGAAAAAATGAAGTTCGCGAAAAAAACAAGCATTAAAGTGCCGAAGAATTTATAGCTACTGTCTTTTAATGTCATATACTTTGTATTGATGTCTATATCCGGAGAACGGTAACCAATGCTTAGCACAGCAGCTTCTAGGACATCCTTTTATCTCTCCAAATCCCTTGTCGCACGATTTAAGCCATAACATCACTTCAGATAAGCTTGACGCTGAAAAAGATCAAGGAAGAAATTAAAATGGCTGTGATGATGGAGATAAGTATCCCGATTTGATGCCTATTCCTTTCGGCTACGCTGCGAGAAATTCAAGATTTCGGAATGAACTTGCGGTGTTGCAAATGCTTGGAAAAAGGAGGGTTTGCTTTACTTGTCAAGGTAACTTTTTATTACATACATTGTTTAAATAGACGGTAATTTGGTCATGTGAAAGAAATTTTGTACTTGATCTGGAAGTGCTTTATATGCATTTAGGTACATACTAAATTGGATGGCTATGCAATCAAAAGAACTCCTTTGAATTCGAAAAGTGGGATGTTTAATCGCAAAATTACTCCGGCAGAGAAGTTACTTTCTAGATTGAATCATGAAGGTAAAAAGAAATCCACTATCCAAAATGAATCAAAATTTTATGATATAAGGATTTTATAACACAAGGGTTGAAAACGATGTTCAATTTAGACGATACAAATTGCTCGGTTTATTAAATATTATCTTTGTAGAAACTATTATAAAAACGTAATAATCCTTTTTTCCCATGAAGCCAAGGGATGTTTTCTTTCATGATTTCATCTTAAAAACAAAAAATCCAGTTTTCGGTCCATACCTCCCGATACCCCGAGATAGTTGAGCACTAGAGCGTCGCATGTTAACTAAGAGAACCAAATAATCCTTGTTTGATGTGAAGCCCTTGGATGGTTTGCTCGTGATACATGAGAAACAGTAAATGAGAGAGTTAAATCAGAAAGATATAAATCAATAAAAATTATATAAAACATGTTTAAAGTTGTCTTAAATTATAAGTGTTAGAAAAAGGCACAGTCAGAAGAAGTTAATTGAAACATTTCTTGGTTTATTTTATGAGAAGAATAAACATGAAAATGTGAAAGCAAAAAATAACCCTGTTTACGGTCCATGTTTCCCGATACCTTCTTAAGCGTAAGGCACTAGAACGCCGCATGTTAACGTTTTGGTAGGAGATTTCGGCCTCTCCACGCGATCGTACTTGGGATCGCAAGTTTCCGCCCATCAGACCCCGAGATCGCTCGCGATAAGCTTTGCTCGGGGTACGCAGGGAGAGTGCGGTCGCGAGGGAGTCTGGGCCCCTAAGCCACTGCATACTTTATCGCACCCAGCTTCCACTGCTAGTTGACATCTGCTATATGAAGTTTTAGCTTTATATATATATATACACAAATTTAAAGGCTTACGAAAGTTGTGGTATGATTGACATCGTTACTGCGCATGCCCAGTTGATTTCTTTAATATTGTGCGACTAAGTGAGCAAATTGCCACAAATGTAGTTCAAGTACATATAGTTGGTCGTTGTCATGACTATGAACAATTACTCGAGTTGACTGCGCATGCTCGAGCGCATGGGCAAATGATTTCTCTATTAAATTGTTTCTAAGCAAGGTATTTACTTCAAAATCGGTGCTAGTAGATGCAGTTGGTTGTTGCCATGACCATGAACATGTGCAGATGGTCAAATCGACTGTGCATTCTCAAGTAGACTGCTCATGCGAAGATGATTTATCTGAAAATTTGTGACTGAGCGAGCTAATTACTCTATATAATCGGTACTCTACATACAGTTGATCGTTGCCATGACCATGAAGTTGGAGAGTTGGTGGAGTTGACTATGCATGCTCAGATTGATTTTCAATCATATATTTTGGGCATGCTTTTTGTCTTCTTAAGCTTGTTTTTGCCAATGTGTATCAAACTCATCAACAATTAGTTACGGCACTCGTAATATCCGCGACAACGTTAGAAATGTTATTTTTCTCTATAACTTTGTACCTACATATTGCATGTCCAAACTTTCCTATGATTTGACGGAAAATGATTTTATTTACTCTTTATAATGGTCAATAGTTTCTAAATTCAAAACTAGGAGTTTTCTGCTGTGAAGTGAGAACGATTTAACAACTTTGCAATTTGTATATTTTCTTTATTAATGCTCTTCCGATCTCACAATTCTTCGTGTATATTTTTCTGAGTGGAGTTGTTATTGTTAAGCCAGGCTGTCTTTAATTGTATGTTTGGCTTTTAGCCGCCAAATCTTCAAAGTTCATTATGGAATCAGACTTAAGGTATTGTGTCAGCGTTCATTGTCATCTTGGAACACAAAGAATCAAATATATTGTATAAACTTTCATTTCTAAAGTGACAGAGAGATCAATGTACATCTCTTCTTTGCAAGGGAATACTGGAAGTAACAGCTTGTGACGTTCATTAAAAGCACAAAAGAGGTGGCGTGGCTAAAACAATTGATTGAGAATTGTTTTAATAGAACACTGAATCGTGAACAGACAACAAGAGCAACAAGACTTGACAAAAATGCATGCCATGTACTTTGAATAATATATTTGTATATACTGATGTTTTTATCCTGATAAAGAGAAGATAGACCATTGTGTATCCTAATTTAATAATTTATTCAGCTGCATGCGGGCGGCAAATTCCAGAAACGACAATGTGTTTTCCTTGAAGTTTTCCTTGAACGTGCTCGACATTTTCTTTACTTTCAAAGTACATCATAGGATATTCATGTATTGGCGACAAACCAGCATTAGAAGACAAAGCAATCATCCCATTAAATATGTCACAGTTTTATATTGGAGCTGGCGAGGGGGGAGGGCATTGGCTCCCTGCAATATTTCCCACAATAAGGTTTTTGTAATGGTAGTGTCAGTAAAATCAAACAGTGCCGGCGCCACTTTATGTTCGTCATTTGCACATATTTAACATAGTGGCAACAGCACATTTTCAAAAATGCAATTATTTAATGCACCTAAAGTCAATCAATTTTTAATCCAGCCTTAAATATGAGAAATGCCATTTAGCTTTATATGAAATACAATTATGATGAGCTTTAATTTCCGCTTCTTCTACATTTTTCTACAAGGTATTTTAACCCTATACATCCGCTGTTATCAGGTATAAACTATTATCGTTCAAGCTACGTATGTTTATCAAATATTGAAGTGTATGATTAGTTTTCTCTAATATAGCTGGATTATCAGTGTTACCAAACATCTTCTCCTCAAAATTTTCAAAAAGTAAGCGTGTTTTTTCAATTTTCATCAAATCTCACGAAAATTGCTTTGGGCTAAAGAGCATGCTTGCCTTAATACTAAATTTTGTGATACAAAATTCAAACACATCGTTTTTAGCATACTTCATGCAAATGAAGGGGGTTTCGGTTTCTGAACAAGAATTTTAATTATTTCTGGTGTACGACCGACATTTATAAGTAAAAGAAGCCATGCCTGTGCTGTCAACTGTACATTGCGCTATTTGTAAAGAGCTTCTCTCTTTTACCAAGCAAATGGATATCTACTCAGCAGTCATTGCTTATTCTATTAAGGTTGATTTGATCGTTTTCAAATTACAATAAGCGGTTTAATAACATTGTATAATTAGTTATTTATGTAACAAAAGGTATTCTAGATAATGCATAATTATGAAAATTTCACAACATATACTTCCTTGTATATAGCCAAGCAAGAACAAGGAAGACATAACAAACCCATATCAAACTGAAAAACTGAAAATCAGTTGATCAAAAATCT